CTTTTAATTTTATATTTTTTTGTTTTGTAAAATTTGACCCGGCTGGGTTATGCTAAGTTTGTATGATCTAACTAACAATTCTAAACGCCATTTATAATTTTAGTGTTCACTCTCACACTTCCTACCACTATTACTTAGAAGACACTATATAAGAACGTTTATTGAACCTTAAGAACCTATAATGTATAGTAAAAAAAGTATGGGAAATGTTTTCGTTTAAGACTACTATGTTAGATTTAAAATAGACATTTATAGCGACTATTTAATTTAAACAGGTCCAAGCACTTTAGTAGCAAAAGTTGGGTTTAAATTTTTAAGTTCGGTTGGTTCTTGTAACATGTTTAGGAGTTTGTCGACCAAATAAAGGTGTTGCCTTATATATTGTAGATTTTTTAATGATCTCGGGTTTATTAGTAATAAAGACCATTTTTTCCACTTTATGTGAATCTATCTATTCTCTAACTATTTGTGATAGATTCTTTTTATGCATATTATAAGTTTGTAGGCTTCATTAGGTTTTTATTTTACTTTTTATAAGTATCATAATGATGAATTTTTTTAAAAATTATGTAATTTGGTTGGTTAGTTATTTAATCAAATAAATGTCTTACCATGAAATACATACACATTTTTATCGTTATCATTATCGTTATATACGTATAGGGTTTTTAATCTAAAAATATAGTACATTTGACCCTCGTTAGTATCAACCTATTTGGACCACCTTTATATTCATGTTGATAGTAATATTAACGAAAGTTTATATTAAAGTTGATATATGAGAGAATTTTGATATGTAAAAATTTCTAAAAATTTATTTTGTGGCTTTGGTTGATATTAACGCAGGTTGATATTAATGAGGCTCAACTGTATTTTATCCCAAAGATAGAATGGAATTAACTTGGGTAACCATTTTAGAAATCGAAGTTTATATTTTTTTGATTAGACTAGTAATTCAAAAGAATTCTAATTCTTGCGTCAGATTTAGATCTCAAGACGATCAGTATAAATAACTTCGATGATGAAAAATTTAAATATTCTGTTAAATTTTATTCAGAGTTAACTTTTTTTTTTTTACCTTGTTAGTATTTAAACCTCGTCAAACATTATAATACTAAAATTTTTTAAGAACTCGTTAGATATCAACTTTATTAAAAGCAAATCGGACAATACTAGTATATAATATAGAGTAATTAGATTTGTTTTTTTTTTAAAACTAAATATATTATTAATAAAATCTTTTTTTTAAATCGGGTATTTTGTAGAAAGCATAAAAAGAAACATGGTGTTGGATCGTTGCTTTGAGTTAATCAAAATTCTGCTGATCACCTAATAAAATGCCTTTAACCCTCCTAGAGAAAATGTGTCTTTTACTATTACTTGGAGATCTTGCTTACTTTTCTTAATTACAGAACAAAAAACATTTTAAAAAAAGTAAAATTTATTTCAAATTTTAGGTATTAGAGAAATCAATCGCTTTTCCTCATCCTTTCTTTCCTGCATTCTTTTACTTTTCTTATTTCACTGAAGTTTTTCAAAGCTAAATTGCTTGAAAACCATATCTTTAAGGGCACGGGCTTGAGATAAAGCTACAAAAGAAAGGCCTGCTGTAAATTCTGTATTGCTAATATCGATTACAGCTCTTGGTAGTGTAAGACCTTGGCTTTTGTATGCTGTAATAGCTCATGCAAGACAAATAGGAATTTGTAAACGTGAACACGTCACTTCAGATTTGCCTTCCCAAGTATATTGGATTGGTACAATCGGGACAACCTTGGTACCATCTAGAGTGCTAATAGTAGGTCCTCTGTAATTATCGAATACGATAAAAACTGCCATAGGAATTGAAGGTGGCCCTGATTTTCTTCAAATAAAATATCTTTAATAGTCCCTAATGAACCATTAACTAATCCTGCTTCAGTCCATAAATTTGCTATTAGCATAATATGCACACCTTTGGCTAATAACAATTTCGCTTCAAGACCCTTTGCTGCATCTGAATCAGCATTTTTGGCCTCGCCGCCACCTCTATAATGTACAGCAAGAATTTTTGCAACTGGTGCATTTAAGGACCGAAGCATATCTATATTCATTGAATCAACTTCAGTCCACGTTGTTAGAATAAATATAGCATTTAAAAATTCATTTCGTTCTGTTCTGATTATTTTATCTTCAAACCGTGTACTAAGTGTTCTCCAATCAGCTATTGTAGATTCTCTATTGCACAATCGTAAAAAGATTTCTCTGAAGTTTTGTTGCTCTTCAGAATCTCCTGATTGATGTTGAATAACGTCGAGTTTATAAGCTTCTTGAAACTGTTTATAGGCAACAATATCATTGTTAGACAATGGATCTCGTGACATATTGGTTGTATATATGGGAAAATCAAGTACAGGGGAAAGCTGACCAAAATCACCAACCAACAAGATTGATCTTCCACCAAAAGGTTCATTTTTATATTCTGGAAATGCTTGTCGTAACTGCGTATCAATTAAGGCAAGCATTCGTCGCCCAACCATACTTTTCTCATCGATAATAAAATAGTTTACATTTTGTAATCTATTCTGTAGTTGCTTTAGTTGTTCACCTTTTAAATCAAGGGTAGTGCTAATAGGTATTGGGACAGAAAGTGTTGAGTGAATCGTTGCCCTATTAATATTAAAGGCCGCAACACCTGTTGGAGCAAGTACTAATACAGATGATTTAGATCCGCTTCCGACCATTTCATTAAGTCTACTTCTGATCGCTTTAATTAGATATGATTTTCCTGTACTTGCAGTTCCCATTATAATAATTCTTAACAGCTCAGTGTGACAACCTGCAAGTATACTAGAGTAATGCGATTCTATTCGCTTAAAGATTATCATTTGATTTTCATTTAAACTTTGATAATCTATAATATCTATAACTGAGATTTCATTTTCTTCTATTTCATTGCTATCACTACGATTAGATACTCGTTGCACAAAGGAGTTTGCTTCTGCAAGGTTATTATGAGAATAATATTGTCTTGCATCACTAATCCAGTCATGATTTCGGTCCATATCTCGAGATCCAAGATCAGAAGACTGATCGGGAATTGAATTAGAACCCATCTCTGCCAAAAGCATCTAGTCAAATCGATATTCGTCCTGTTCACCATTTTCGAGTTGTTCCCCTTCACTTTCATCTTCGGTAGTTATATCACTTTCATTGCTATCAACGGCCTGCCCAAGTAAATCGATTGGGTCTGCATTAATTTCTTCAAGATACTGATCATATAAAGACGACCATGAAATAGCATCGTTTTGAGTTAGTTGTTGAATATCACGATGGCAAACATGAAGAAGGACCTTCACATGATAGAACTCCTCCCAGTCTGGACTCCCTCACAATGATGATGGTCATGGCCAGATATGTATAATATTTTCCTGGTCACATTTTTTCCATTGATTACTGATAAATTTATATGTCAAATGTAACTTATATAATAAAAAATCTTCAAATTCGGAAGGTCGATCCCAATATATTTTTAGAGCCGATTTTGTTGTCCACTCAGTATTTTCAATTTTTCTATTATTTTCATCTTCTCTGCTGCTGGTACCACAAAGCCATCGTGGTAATTTTTTATTAAGATTTAATGAAATAAATTGACGACTTGAACGATATAGAGGAATTCCAAGAAGAATATGACAAGTTTCTTGTGCAGATATGTCATGTTCTGCAACACTATGGAGCAATAATTTCTGAACTGGAACAAGTAGCCGATCATCATGTTTGCTATTATGAAGTACTTGGTCTAAAATTTCTGAAAAAGCAACTGATCTCGGCTCTGCCTTGCTTGTATATTTGGAGATATATTGTAGTGCTGCATGAATACTAAGAATAGGTTTTAAATCAATATTTGCTCTCCACCCTTGTAATTGAAGTCGGTTATGTAGGTTAAGGTACGGGTTATTTCTTGCTGTTACGAGTTCTGGATGACCATGCCTATCATTGCGCAAAAAGGTATAGTTACTTTTCTCTTTTGGATATCCATATCTGCAGAATTGTTGTTCTGAACGGTTAACACGAAGACAATAAGAAGGACTGCATCGAGTGTGCCATTGTAACTTATTTACTAATTTAACATAATCTTGTAAATCGTCATGTAATTCATCATGAGGCTTACGACATGGATGATGATTAGGGATAGGGGCATCGATTCCCGGATTAATAGTAGTAACCAAGGAGTCTATATATTTCACTACTTCTTTTAATGATTCCTCATCTTCTTTTATTTGGTCCCATTCAATTTTAGGTGCATTTTTTATTTTTCCAATCCCGTGCACATGGACACTACTGCAATGTTGCCATTCGAATCTGTACTACCAGTCCACCAAATTCTATTTTTTTTTTAACATATCGTGAAAAAATATCTCGAAATGTTTATTAAAGAACCAAGTCGCAATATAGGGGTTATCGATAATGTTTTGATTGCAATTTTCATTAGACGGCATAAGTTTGTGAAGCTCAGGCCAGTGTAAATCAGCAGCACTAAATGTGAAAAAGATTAGCCCTTGTGAGCCTAACTGTTTGATCATGTCCGATAACTCATTACGTCTTGCATTCCAGAACTGTCTAGATCCACGCAAGCCCTGACTGAATCTTATAATTCGATCTGCCATATGTGTATCACCACTAGCAATCTGTTCCTGTATTTCTGCAACTGTGATCTGATTATCGTTAAAATTCTGCCTTACATATATCCTACCCTCTTGTATTGCTCGCCATCTCATTTGGGAATTAAGCACAAAGTATCGCCAATGAGCATGATGAACGAATCTTCTATCTTTATATAGTAATAAGTGTTTGAAGTACTCAGCCGGTTTGACATTCTTAACACGTTCCGCCCGAAGGTTGGCACATCCAGTCGGATATAAAGTTGGAAAGGCGCGCGTAATATAGCCGGGTGTTCGAAACTCATTAATAGGATTGTTATTAATATGTGGCCACGTAATGATATTATTATTGGTCAGCATTCAATTGAGTGTATTATTTATTGCAGTTTCTTCTCTATTATCTGAAGGAAGAAGAGATACAAAGGTGCTTGTAATTACATTTTCTTCACTTTCTACGTTTGATTCATCTATTATTTGATTGCACCGAAGTTGATCATTAACAGAACCATCCTCTGACAAGGATTGAAGAATATCATCATCGATTATAATTTCAGAATAATAACGATTATTTGCCTTTAACCAACATAATGCCCGGCTGACTTTATCACGACGTACTTTAAAATCTCTAAATGCTGCTGGATCTCTTTCAGATTGCCGACATACGATAAGTACATTTAAAGAAGATGGACATCATGGAAGTTGAGTAGTAAATTCTTCTACGTCTTGAGGAAAGTTGATAACGTTTCCACTATATCCGTGTTGTCCTCCACGAAGTCTATAAACTATCATTATAGGAAAGACTTGTGCAATTAACATTTCTTCAATTTCAGTGAGTTCTTGAAGTTCCTCGGGTACTTTTCCTGGATCCATATTATTTCCTGCTAAAAATTTTTTAGGTAAGTTCTTCTTGGTAGAGCAACGGCGACACTCTTTTTTTACAAGTGTTATAGATAGAAAACATTCATTGCATGTGGGACAGAGTTTATGCTCCAATTTATCCATTTTATGACGAAATCGTTGCAGAAGTTTTTGATCAGCTTTATTGAGATAAGCAGAAAGAGGGTCAGTATGTTGTATAACTATATTATTATCGCCACTTTGAGATGTATCTAACACCAGCTGTAGATCCGTATTATCCAACCCATTCTGTTCATCTTCGCGTTCATTTTCCGTTTCCATACTTCTGAGAAACACACTAAACTCCAATTGTGAATTAGTATACAGCAAATCAGATTCATCTTCATGTTCACTAATATCCGCATTTGTACTTCTGGAATTTTGCCTACTCATACTCATACTTGTACTTCTGGAATTTTGCCTACTCATGCTTGTACTTCTAGAATTTTGCCTGCTCATGCTTGCACTTCTAGAATTTTCCCCACTCATGTTGGTAAGCTGTGTCTCAAGTTTGTTTGTTGCTCTTTTTTGCCATTTTCGCTCACGGTCTCGTGCGAGGCGCGTCTCACGTTGCTGAGGCGTTTCGTCTTTTCTACTTTTACGTTTTCGAAGTGTATCACGATAAACGAAACCTTCTTCTTGATTTTCCTCTAATTGGCTTTCTTCTAATTGAATTCCTTCCATTTGGCTTTCTTCTACTTGATCTTTTTCTAATTGTATTCCTTCCATTTGGCTTTCTTCTGTCTGGGTTTCTTCTATTTGGTTCATTTCTACTAATTTTTCTTTCTTTTTTTGATTTTCCAATTTAGTAGTCACGGGCCCAAGTCTTAAATAGATGTTACGGTTATTTCAGAAACGCGACGAAAGCATTTATCTTGATTAGTGAAAGGTTATTTGTATGTTATCAATGATTTATACAATTAAATGAAACACGACAAATCGCACTTTCTTAATATTGTTTATTTGTTTTATTTAATGTTTAGTTGTAGGATTTTATTGAAAAAATACAAGTATTTTATACATTTTTCGCTACATACAACTTTCTTACAGCGTTATCTTATCTATTACTTATTTTACTTTTAATTCACGAATGAGACGCTTATCTATTTTGCCCTTTCATCTGTTTCCTATCAATCTATTTCGCCCTCTATCTATTTTCACCCTCCATCTATTTATTCCTTCTTAATACATTAATTTAAGATCCATCACTTTCGCTTAATCCCGCATATTCTCTATACATCGCTTAATCCCGCCATCTTCTCTATACATCGCTTAATCCTCCATATATCGCTTAATCCTGCCATATTTTCATACATC